ATATATATATATATGGTGAGGTTCAATAGAGAACCATAATTAACAAGGAACTAAGGAACCAATCGTGAGCGTCGAAAATCATAATGATCAACGGCCAAGGAAATAGATGTACACTTGTACATTGGACACACACATACCAAATTATACCAAAAAATCCACCTCCTTACAAAAAAAACTCACATCTTTTTTTCGCTTAAAATTTTTTTTAGTTCAAATTTTTTATCGAAAAAAAAACTGAATATACCGTTGTTCTCGATTTTTCGTCCTCTTTCCATAGAGATCCATGATGATATATAAAAAACGAATTTTTTTTTTCGAAAAAAACTCACTTTATTTTGTTAGTTTTTTCAATATTTAAGTTCATTTTTATAAAAAAAAAAAAACTAATTATACCAAAAAAAATATTAATTTGTTGTACTCTATTAATAAACATCAACACCGACTAAAAAAAAACTTCGATCAGTGTAGATTCACACTGTAAATATAAACTGTAAATATTTCAATTTTTAACATTGACAATGTGAAAAAACTCAATCAGTTCAGATTCACATTGTGAATCTGACCTGTTATTATGCACACTATGAATCTGAAAAGGTTCACAAAAAAAATCTCGATCAGTGTAGATTCACACTGTGAATCTAAACTGTAAATATTTCAATTTTTAACATTCACAATGTGAAAAAGCTCGATCAGTTCAGATTCACATTGTGAATCTGACTTACTATTATGCACGTTATGAATCTGAGAAGGTTTACAATGTGAATTTGAACAGGTTCAGAATATGAATCTGAACAGGTTCACAATGTGAATCGGAACTGAAATATCGTTTTTTTTACGTGAATATGAATCTATGTTTAAAAAGTACAAAAATCATGAATTTTGATATATTTATTAATTTTTTTTCTATAAAAAAAATAGACCTTAACTTTTCAACAAATAAAATGAAGTGAGTTTTTTTCGAAAAAAAATTCGTTTTTTTATATATCATCATCGATCTCTTTGGAAAGAGGACGAAAAATCGTGAACAACGGTATACTTGGTTTTTTTTTCGATAAAAAACACGGCCTAAAAAAAATTTTAAACGAAAAAAAGGAAGTGAGTTTTGTTATAATCCGGTGCATTGCGTCCATTGTAAAAGTCTACAACCCTTCATTTTGCCGTTGATCGCTTTAAATTTCGACGCTTTAGATTGGTTTCTTGGTTCCTTGATTAATAAGGTTCCTCTCTCCTCTCTCTCTCTCTCTCTCTGCTCCTCTCTCTCCTCCCTCTCTCTCTCTCTCCTCTCTCTCTCTCGTCTCTCTCTCTCTCTCTCTCTTTTTTTTTTTTCTATATATATATATATATATATATATATATATATATATATATATATATTATATATATAGTAGGTGTAAGACACATGTATTACATGGGTTAATTAAAAAATTAACATCGTCTCGTTATTATTATTATTTTTATTTATTTTTTATTTGTTTTGGGCTGGAAATTAATTTATAAAAAAGAGTTTGTGTGCTTGTGTGAGTAACCATACATGAACATAATGTTTTTATATACAAAAATAATTTCAAGTAATCAATGAATTAAATAACATAAGTTGAAATAAGTTGAAATGTTTAGGCAAACATTTCAATTACATATCTATTAAATACACAAGTCAAAAAGTCTTTGGAGTTTCAAATGAATATGGTTTAAGATATGTCATCTATCTTGAACCGTATTTATTTGAATGACCTCCTTTATAAGAGATAGATAACTAGATAGATAGATAAATATAAATATCTTTGAAAGTGGTTTTAATAATAACTCGGTCAACACTCATAGAGACAAATTTAAAATTTCCTTAGTGATGATACATGTTTTAACACAAGAACGTATGAGTAAATGAAATAGGGTTAAACATACAAGAACATACTTATTCTTTATATACTTAAATACACATATGATAATCATCAAAACACTAATACCTCCATTATATCACCTCCAAAGTAGTAACAAAATCCATTACCGTAATTATCTTCTTTGTAAATCCCTAACAACTTTTAATTCCTCTTACCCCTCTTTATCTCTCAAACTCCCTCAAATTTCGGAGCTGGTAATCATCAATCTCCCACCGTCATTGCTATGGTAGAATACGGTGGTGGTCGAGGGTACACGACCGATGGGTGGTGGTGGTAGACGATAACCGATGACTGTGTTTAACTTTAACATGTTTCAAAGAACTGAAAACATTTCTTCATGCTCTTTATTATGATATGAATATATATATATGTGTAGTTTTATATTTATAAAAGCTTAGATACTAATAATAAAATTTTAAATTTAAATTTAAGAAAATTTAAATCAAAAATCCATATGGATGCATTGTTACTGTTAGCGTCACTTAGGAATGTTATGGTCACTAAAATGACATGTCGCATGCCACGTAAATGTCATAAAAAACTAACCGCTTCAAAACTCGTAAAATGGTTTTAATGACATAAAATTTGAATGTTTAAGGCTGTAAAATACAAAAAAATAATTAAAAATAAATAACTAGATGAACAAATGAGATCAAAACAAACACAATCACATTACCTTTTATTTATAATACTAAAAAAGCATATAAGAAAAGAATTGACACGCCAATGTGTATATTTGATACCTTCACAAACAACTTCAAGAATCATGTTTATTATTGCTATATTTTGAGCTTAATTAAAATATTACAAATTCCTACTTATTAAATCAATCAAAATACGTTACATATTTCTTTGCGTATAAACTGTGTTTTATGGCTATACTATCATAAATTGAACAAATAATTAGATTAACAAATTAGATATGTATAGTATAACAACAAATTATCGTTATTCGTAAACTGACCAAATTCAAAACTGACACAAGTAAAGCTAACCTTGTATTGGTTATGTAATTCATTTGAGTGATCATTGTACATAGCGGATATAGGGTTTATGAGAAACCTATTGTTTTGTTGAGTAACCAAAGTGTTAGAGTCATTTCAAGCGCGAATATTGTGTGTAGATATGACCTGTCTAGCATGAAACCGAATACTGTAATCCCAGCCTTGTTGTTCTCAAAGTATGTCACTGCAACATGTAAAATCCAATCATATTAATTGAATAGGCTATGAAAGCAACCATAATTAAGATTCTTATAAAAATTTAGGGATTAAGATTACATTGTTACATTAGATAAGACTCTATAAGCCTTTTAAGGTTGTTTTCAAATGAGGATAAGAAAAACATCTACATCTTTTGAACTTACAACCATGTCCTTCCTTCTTTTACATTTTTGGGTGGGAAAAAATATTAGGACTGTCTTGGATTATTTAAATAGAATTGTTTTACAATAGGCTAGTAATTAGTTTGGCAATAAGTTAACCTCCTAGAAAATATATTAGTTTTTTTTATATAACTTATAATTACAAACTAAAAGCATAACTTAATATTCTAAGAAGTCATTGTAAGTTATGTAAAAAGTTAAATTTATTTTCATAGAAATTTTTAAATATTTATTTTCACTTAATTACAAAATGATTGAATAAACATGTGATATAAAAAGTTATTTACATATAGTTTTATATATGTTTTTTAATCGGTTTATGACTAAAACAAGTTTCAGTTTAGAATTATTTCGGTCTGATTTTACACGACTGTTAAAGGATTAGCCGGTCATTCTAAGATTAGAAACAATTATAATTAGTCCAATCTTTTTATCGGCCAGTTTAAGCTTTAAACTATTTTGCTTAGTCATGCGTATCAAATAATGAAACTCACCTAAGGCTTGTCTTTTCTGGAATGAGACTGTATGCCGATAGACTGGAACTAACTTTGTATTGTCCAATTCGTCTTCATCTCCTTCTTCACTATCCGAATGTGAATGAGGGTTAAAATTGTAATTCTCTCTCTCGGAAGTAATGTTAGTAGATGGAGTCTCGTCGATAGGATCAATGTCATTAAATGAGTCCACGGTGGCGCATGTGTGCCATTTGGCTGCCAAGCTTGTCACAGATTGAGCTTTGTGTGTGATCTTTGCCGCATAGCGCAAGCATATGAGTAACCCACTCACAAGTGTAGCCGAGCACAACTACAATCATTACAAGATGTCAATATAATTGTGTTGTGGAATAATTTGATGGTTTTGGTTTTGGTTTAATGAGTCAAGATCAAATAAGAAGGAAAATTTTGGTAAGAAGGTAAAAAGTTTTTTTTTCTACATTTAGCGAACAAACAAAATGAATTATTAGATGATTCAAAAGTAAGATGATTCACAAGAGAAAATTCCCAAAAAAAAACATCTTTATGATTCATTTTTAAGTAGATTAAGAAAAAATTCACTTTTATAACAATTTTAATGAATAACAACAAAATCATTGTATAAATAAATCATCGAGATGTTTTTTTGAGAATTTTTTTTTTTTGTGAATCATGTTATTTTTGATTCATCTAGTGATTCATTTGTTTTGTTTGTCAAAAAAATATATAGAAAAAAAAAACTTCTTACCTTCTTATCAAAAAAAAATTTCTTACAGGATCTATATCCTTGGTTCAATCTATCAAAAAATATCAATTAATATCTCTACCTAAAATGAGTCGATTTGGGTTTGTGTAGTAATGATCAAATGGGTAAAATTTTAATTTTTGACAGAAAAATAAAAACAGGTTTTTATAAATTTCAAAAAGGACAAAAAAAAAAGTTAGTGAGTGAAGGATTACCGCGAGTTCTCCAGCAGTAGAAATATTGACGAGTGAGCCTGTCCGAGTCAACACAAGCAAGGAAGCAAACTGGCTAGCTGTAACAAGTATGAGAGTCGATAACACAAATCCACGAAATCTATGGCTTATGATACGAAGAGTTCTTCTGATTGCAAGATGTTCCATCAATATCAAACCTACATCTCCTTGTCTTTCAAACACTTTAGCAAAATCGTCAAGTCTGAATATTTGCAGAGAACAAGTGAGCTTGAAGAGCATGCAGACAAGAAAGAACAGTGATGTACGGTATAACCAAGACCCCAAAAGCAGGACACAGGCTATGGTGTGGCTTAAGTAGATGTTGGAGATGAAAGGTATTTGGTGTGCTCCAGAAATAAACCACCATATCTTGTATATAGCATCAGCTAGAAAACAAGGAACCACGAATGCACAGTAAAACTTCATTGCTCTCTGCATAAATTAACACTCATGTTGTCAGTTTGAACATATTAGGAACCAAAATCTGTAATCGAACACAAATACCTAGATGTGAGGTTTAAACCCTAATTTTTTTTGGCAATTGTAGTTAAAATGTGATGATCGATGCATATTTATACAGGAATTTCTATAATCGATAAAAAATTAAGTGTAATTGGGAAGTATTCCAGGAAACATACATGAAGCTGATCGGAATATCCATGGCGGACTTTATCGCTAACATCAGACATTTTATCAAGGAACAGAAATCGCCGGAGACCGTATTTCCGAGAGAAGGACGAGAGACTGACGAACGAAATAGCCGAGAATACAGAGAGCGACGACTGTACAATCAAATCAAATGGCCGGCGGTGGTTGTAATCGCAGGTGGAACACTGAAACACCAAGTGTGACAGAATCGGGACGCAGATCGCCAAGAGGAAGAAGATTGACCATGAGAGACCAGCTTTCCATAGACTTGATTGGTCGAAAAATATCCAGGAAAAACCCCTGGATTCGAGAGCATCGATAATCCAGTAATTTGATTTTATGTTGATTTTGTTGTTTACTGCTGTTAACAATGTCTCTCGTGAATCCGCCATTGAATTTGGATCAAATTGTTTCCAAATTTGAAAAGAATCCGCGAACAGGGAGATTGTGTTTATGATGAAGGGTGGTTGTATAATGTATATATTGAGGATTACATATATCACGTCATATCTAACTAACTTTTAAAAAATGTATGTATCTAATATGTAAGAAAAATAAAATATCTTTCTATATTTGATTTTTTATCTATCTTTCTACTCAAATAAAATAATAACATTTTACATCTATTATTAATATTATTTTTTTTTATTTTGACATTTACATTATCTATCTTTCTACTCAAATAAAATAATAACATTTTACATCTATTATTAATATTATTTTTTTTATTTTGACATTTACATTGATATATTAAATAAGAAAATAAATAATATTTGATTTCTCAATATATAATCATATCATATAATAACTAGTGGAGAAACCCCGCTCCGCGGGGTTCGGTTAAGACCAGAGTTTTATACTTTTCTTTATCGGTTATGTATGCGGTTTAGTGATGGTAGTGTGTGGCTGGTCATTATGTTTTTCAAAAGAAATTAGAAAAAAAAAAGAAAAAAAAACAATAAATTCAAAGTAAAGTACTATTTATTGCATTTATAACCAAAAAAATGAAAAATGTACGAAATGGCAATCTATGTTTTGTTTTTTGGTAAAGGAATTAAAAGAAATTGCAAAAAAATAAAAAGAGATACATATAAATTCAAAGTATGTTGCGAGTTACATAAAAAAAAATCATGATTCTTTCCTACCATTGTCAATCATACACATATCAATATACCTGCAATGGACATACATTATGAAGGCTACAATATACAAATGAACTGCTTTCAATAATAGAATCGATAAAAATAATGAAGAAGAACCTCATATAAATTACAAAAATCCATACTTTGTAATCAGTAAATGACACGACATACCCCAAATTAGGAACCTAGTGCACCCCTGGCTTGAACCCATATTGCATGGGCGAATCATAGGCACGGCCAAAAGGATTATCACTGTTTTTAGTCGCTTCATTACCTGCTCATATATCATAATTATATAAATCTGAGTATATATACCTACAAAAGTTTCCATATGATAGTTGACATTTAAAAAATATAAAATTACCTAACTATCCCTATCTTTATTCAAGCAAGTATAGTATGACTATTAGTAGTACTAACCAGCCATAGAAGCATGGATCAGTGGCAAAACGGTAAAAGGGAGAAGTTCAAGTACCTGAATGGCCGGAGCTGGAGCAGTAGAGGCGGAGGTCGACATGTCTACTTCTATGGCTGCAGCGGGAGAATTGTTGGCTTAATGAGGCTTCACTACAATTGGTAGAACAATTGGTCAATTTTATGCAGTGCTATGACTTAGTGAATAAGTATGCATTCGAAATATGAGTGTGCTACAGTTTGTGTGAAATGTAATGGATGTACGTAATCGCTAGTAACAAAACTAATGAACTGAGAAACGCATTCCTGAACTGTGTCTTTAGCATCTTTAGCTATCTTACTGTTAGCAGGCTATGCCTTTTTCATAATCCAGCTTATGTTAGCAATCGGGAGGAACCTGTCCTGCTCCCTGATGTTCGAGTTCGACTGAGGGCTCTGTTTGCCGCCGCTTTCGTGACTCCCACCGGTGGGACTCCGCGGACCATCCGCCATTACAGCCAATGAAAACCTTAAACATATCAACAATCATCACCACAAACAAAGAAAGAGCAAAAAAAGTCAATTAAAGAAGAAATCAACGGAAATAAGCCGACAGTGTAAGGATTCGTTGCGCAACAAAAGGTTTGTAAAATTGGGGATTTCGACATACCCAAAGAGAGACAAAATTGGAGGGAGGTAGGAGATTTGTATTTGGCGCGCGAAGGAGACAGATCCGATTGGGTTGATTTTTAACATAAATGGTGTCATTGAAAATACCTCTGCCCTAACATGAAAACCAACTTCCATAAATCATGCTGCAAAAACAATAAGCAAGAACACATTAAACCATTAAAATAGATTATAAATTTAAAAGCAAACATCAACTTTTGACGTAACTATAGTTCAAGTCCCAATATATATTCAATCTTGACCTGAATTTATTCAAAAATCCTTTTGAAGCCATATCCAGTTTGATTGTCAAAGGTGTTAAACTTTTATTTTCAAACCCCAAACTGAAAAAAATAAAAAAATAAAAAAAATGTTTTTGTATCTACTGCTTTAATTCTGGACCAATTTGCCCTTACTATAATTTAGCGTCATCAAAAGAAAGAGGATATACTTGGCAGCTGAGTGTCATGTACCGGAAAATTGACCAGTGGCAGCCAATAATCAATATGTTAGCCTCTCTTTCTCACTTTCTTCCTTTGTTATCTTTTCTGTCTGCCTTGTTTTTTCTCTTCTCATGACACTTTTGGTTTGTTTGTGTTTCTCGGATATGTCATTCCCTCAAACATATATTAAAATTGAAGAACATAACTATGACTTTATGTCGATAAAAGAAAATATTGTGATTGAGCGTGTAAGATGCTATAAGCAGGAGAACTTACCAATAGGCTTTACCTGTAATGATAAATAAGTATGGATCATTAGCGTCCGGTTACCATAACTGTAAGAATTTGATGGCTTTAGAAGAAAATAACTTCTTACTTTTAAGAATCTGGAGACAATTATGCAATAAAAAACTTATAGTGTGGTGGTTTTCGAATTTTACCCTTTGCCAAATTCCCCTAACCGGAATGGATTGACCACCATATGAATTGAAATCTCTACTTTGAATCTAAACCAACGGTTACCTGTGTACAACAACAACAGGCCATGTGTGTGATATAATTCATAATATGAACAACTAAAAAATAATATTAAGATGCAAGCAATATTGAATACCATAGAAAGGCAACAAAGAATAAGACCTTAGTTTTTCCTGCACTGGTTTGAGTAGTGGTGCTGTCATTGTACATTTGTACAATCTGCATATTAAACATACAATAATTTGCATACACTTCCAGGAATCTTCAAGAAAATGGACGTTAAAGTTACTAATTTTCTAGTATATACCTTAATAAAGAGGATCTATTGATAGATCCCTTTTCTTCTGGCGAGCAAGTTTTTAGTCTTTCCGTTCGGTCTTTCTACAAGCTAGTCAACAAAAGTAAGTAATTAATTAGCAAAATTCTTGCAGACCGCTGATATGCCAACTAAAACTGTAAATAGAAACATAAATTGGTCGCATACCTTATTCGATTGCCTTTCGCTGCCTTCCATGCTCGATATCTATGGTGGTGGCCAGAAGGTGCCTTCCCTACGACCTGCTTTCCATTGATCGAAGGAAGCACAAGAGTGAAATAGGAGGGGTATGGTTTAGTATTGATAATAACAAAAAAAATGCATAAATCAAACACAAATTAACTTAAATAAGTTAAGATTACAGCTCCAAAAATACACTTACGGTGTCTGTAGTCTAGTGAGTTTACCAATGCTAGGAGATATAAACCCCCCAAGCTCCATGTATCGCAAGTTTCTGAAACAAATCACAAAACGAAAATCAATGGTTAGAACTTAGAACTGTATGCAATCTGTTCTGAAATTAGGTTTTTCTGTCACTCTATTCATCCTCGAAATGCGGTCGGGCCTCATCATCTACCGAACCGGTAAAAGACATCAAAGATCGAACCTGGAGTTGGGACCTATGTTTGGAGAGATGGAGCCTAAGCCGTAAGCGAAACTGCTGTTTACGGTTGCAATGGAGACGAAGACTGAAGACAGAAGGGTAATCGAAGTTGGTGGAAACGGCAACACGATCAAACCGAGGCGGTAACCCTGCTGGACCGGATTGGATGGCGGTGGCGATGAACTGTTCCCGAATAAAAAGGATCAGGAAGTGGTTGGCGGTGGAGGGAGCAAAGGGTAGAAGAAGAAAGGAGTGGAGGCTATGACGGGTTTTCCCCTTTCGATTCCGATTCCAAATGTGATTTGAATGTTGGCACCAAATCATAATGGGTGTTGCGTCGGTGGAGTAACCCCAGTGGAGGAAGCCGCAAAAGGGATATAGAAAGCCACCACCGACGATCCGATCAGGTGTAAGAAGAGGAAAACCTCAGCGGGGTTATGAGGCGGTGGGTTTCTGGAATAGTGGAATGAGGAAGGATCGAGAGATAAGACGTGGCGGTTACCATGGTTGAGGAAGTTAACCGAGTAAGAGTACCGTGGTTAGCATCCTGGTTAGGTACTGTAGCTAAGGGACAACAATTGTAATATATACAAAAATACAGGGACCAGGAATGTAACTTAAGGGACCAATTCTGCTAAATAAATGGGCAGTTTAGTGTTCTTTTTCTTCACAACTTTAATATATATATAATAATAATATATTATGGAGTATAATTTATTTTTCTTCACAACTTTAATATATATATAATAATAATATATTATGGAGTATAATTTATTTTCTTTCATATTGTTGTTTTTTCCATTATTTGTTAAAAGCAATTTAATATAGTTTTAGTTACATTATCAACATTATGTTTTAATATAAAAATACCAAATTAGTTGTGAATTATGTTAGTTTCTTTTTGAACAATAGTTGTCTAACATGAGACATTTTTATTGGTCTCTTGTTTAATTTTTAGGTAATTACCACAATATCACATTGATGGTAGTTGTAAATTAAGTTAGTGTTGAAAATTAATAAAATCAAATATTCATCCCTACATATTTATTGATTTCAACAAATATATATTATCAGTAATTTAACATAATTTATATTTATTGATTTTAACTAACATAAAGTATACAAGATTTAATATTAACACTTGAAAATGTTAGACTAAAACAGTCTAAATGAAATACTTTCTAATAATACACTTGTTAGATATTTGTGAAAACAACATAAAATACATGGATATTTTGTATATAATAGTAGACAAAAATGATTGTATTGTATTAATCACTGATAGTATTATTTAAAATATACAATAATTTATAATATATATAGTCTAGTAAGAGGATGTTTGGAAAAGCTTAAAACATGAGCTTTCTAGCTTATTATTAGTTCCATCGTTATAAACTAA